TCTACTCATTTTGGTTCCACTCCAAACGTTAATCTCAAATAAGATCTCGTACTAATTTTAATTCATCCTATATTCTACTCCCATTACCTCATCGTGGTAGGAAGGTAACAATGGGTTCCCAAAATTATGTGCAGCTGAGCCTCTAGGCAATGGCAGGTTGAACCATGCTGTGAAGGCTCGAGAAACATGCTCGGCTAAAGAGAAGAGGCAATATTCATCAACTTGTCCAGCCTGTGCATGGAGATATGGCCAATTCCTCCAAGATAAATCAGCTAAAACCACGGTCCTCATTCCATGGAGGCTGAACTGTCGCCGCGAAGGCATCAGCTGCTCAATCGCAGAGGAAGAGCGTGATAAGAATACCGGGTTATTAATTCTGGCAACATACAGGTGCAAGTCACTTCTAGGTGAAGCAAGGCTTCAAGAGCTGGAAGTTCAACTTAGGAAAACCAAGTAGGGCATAGTAAAACTCAACATAGTCAGAAGAGAGGAGGAATAACGGCCACAGCTTAAATGTTGATACCTGGTTTTCTCTGGGGGGATCGGCATATGGGGGAGCAGTACAGCGGAAGTAGGGTTCATTATCATCAGAAGAATAAAGAACAATGTATTTTAAGTAAATGGCACATCAGAAAGGTCTGTAAGACAGGTCCTAAAAGTTTCAGAAAGATACGAACACCAGATGATCCAGGTGCAGGCGCCGATATCAAGCCATTGTGAGGAAGAGATTGAAGATTTGTAGGAAGAAGGAGAAGTGCATGAACAGGGAAGGCGACACTACTAGTTCATTATTGATGACTTCAATGCCAAAGTCAGACCGCACCAAGGTAACAAATGTCTTATGGGCAGATTTGGTTACGGTGCAAGGAATGATAGCTTATACCAATTGCTGGAGTTTGTTGAAAAGGATAAGTAATTTATTATTACGAACGCCTTTTTTTCAGAAAAAGCCAAGATAAAGATGGACATGGAAACGCTCAAGCGACGTCAGGAATGATATCGCATTCATCCGCAGCAGTATGACGACCACAATGCAAGACGGTTTAACGCACGGAGACACCACCGGATCGTCAGACGCGAGGTGGCCTAGACTCAGTATCAGAAAGAAAATAGATGAGGACGAAAACGCGATACTCAACAGGGAAACACTAGAGAAGAACCTCCACTACTCCACCTCAAACTAAATAACCGAATTACGGAAGACAAAAAGAAGGAGCAAGAGAAGCAGTGGATATTAACGTACTGCATCAGGATATAATAAAAGCAGTTCGAAACGGCGGAAAATCTTTTCGGAACAAGGATTATGAAAGTCGACCGAAAAGTCACGAATAAGACGAAAAGCGTTAATGAAGAAACGAAGAAAAGTGAAGACAGCAACAGATCAGAAATCAAAGATCGAATACAATACTTTAAGAAGCGAATAAAAGATGTTTCGAACATTCAAGTAAAAAACACTATTAAGAACAATCGAAGCATGAATAAATTGAACAAAAGATTGACGGTAGAGAACGCCAAATTTTAACTCTGAAAGCAGTAGATGGGCCTGTCATTAAGGACAGACCAGAGGTTCTAAAGAATGGAAGATTTTTATTGAAAACTGTACAACGATGAAAACAGGAGCACCCTCAGTGACGATATGGAACTTGAAGACACAAATGAAATTGATGATATTGCAGATATCTTGCCTGAAGAAGTGCAAAATGTTAGAAAAACAGTC